TCAGTCTTTTATCCTACAATGTGAGCTGGTACAGTTGTGTTTCATCCTAGAAATGATTGCACTGCCCACGGTGCTAAAATGGCTTCTGTTTTATAAATGGAATAAATAATGAACTGCATTCACATACTGTCAGTGYATTTGCCTAGAATACAATCATTTTAGCTTAAAATTAATAGTTTTAATAGTACTCTAATAGTACTGCTGAACCCRTATTTTTGGGGCAGTTTTAAAATAGTTTCAGTTAAAATAAGCATATTTTTTTCATATAGAGCTAAAGTGAAAGTTTGAATATACTTTTGAACTTGAGTAGCTACATGAAATGTCTCATCAGTTGTCCTGGAGAAATTCTAGTCATTGGGAGTTAATCATTACTTGAAATGATGGGAAAAACCTATTCAAAGCCAATCTACCATGTAGTGTTGTGTTAGGGAAGAAATGCAGACACTGACTCATACCTGTCAGTTATTTATTCAGTCAGCTATGATGTGAGTCTTTCCAACACTATTTTCCTTTTGATCTACGGTAATATACTGATCTGGTGGATGAGGCTTTCTTAAAGCAAAGCCCTGCCCCACCTTAATCAATAGAGACATTTCAGTGTCAAACTGCCAGAGTAACACCACGAAGTCTTTTAAGTGCATGAGAAATATACATAAGGGTAGAGAGATTATGAGTAAACTTTAATCTGGAAGAGGCACCTGAATATCCTCTTTAATCAGAAAAAAATGTGCTCAGCAATGAGAGCAACAGGAAAAAAAAAAAACAAGAGAAAATTCAAACAGGTCAAATATTGGTGCTATTGTTGCTCCTAGGACTGTGCCAAGTCATGGATATGGCAATAATCAAACCTCCAGGGAGCAGCCTGGAGGCAGGGTGCTTGGGTGCTTCACTCTGGAAATCCCACAGACACAGTCAAGAGCAAACTGGTTCCTAACTTGGGCATATCAGATGCTACAAAGCACACCTTTCCTTCTGTACTACGAAGCCAGGCAAGTTCCTCCCTACCTCTGCAGTGTGTCAACTTTCTGGCATGTGGGAAAAACAGAAACAGCTTCTTCTGCCTGTATCATGTTAACCTGAGGATTAGACAGGACGGGAACATGATGTAATAATCAAAAATCATGCTAACAATTTGAATTTAGGTTATCTAACTAATAGTGCCAGCACTTGTGGTAGGTGCATATTTGTCACATTCTCATGATGTCATAATTTTCTGTCTAATTTTGTGAAAGTTGGCCAATATTCATTGTTTTAAGCATACAGAGAAGTAAACAAAACTATTGCAGTTATTTATTCAGACTGTGCTGACACAAAGTTATTCATGATGCCTGTGCATCACATTACTGACAAAAACATTGATGTTTACTCAGTCGCCTTCATCACCAGTTTGCTCAAGAGTAATAAAGCCTATTTTCCTTCATMCTGACCTGATGTTTATGTTCTCATGTGTTATCATCTGATCTGTCCGTACCACTTTTAAATTAGTATTTTTCTTCTTTCCCTGCTGCTTCAAAATCCCGTCTTATGTTTATTTGCTGTGCTTGTGGGTTGAGCAATGACAGTTTGATATAGCTCATGCTTCTGAACTTGCATATCAACAAATCTTTTAAGATAGGTCTTTTGCTCACATTCTTGCAAATTCATGATTTTTATAGGGTATCATTTTCTTCATGAACCTGGTATTGTGCTATTTCTGGTGTTATAGTGAAGSTTGAGGAAGATTGTTCCTCAAAAGTAATTGCTCCTCCCTTAAAACCAGAACCAGTCCAGGCTCAGGGTCAGACAAAGCATCAAAATCTCCAACCTGGGCAGCTTTCCTGGCTGAGGGAATTCCTCAGTGCAGCTCTGGTGGCAGAAATCTGACAATCTCTATCTGTTTACAAGGCCTATTAATACTCTGAATAACAGCACAAGCACCGCAGAGGCCTTGACTCTATTCCACAAGGATGGCAGGTAAATATTGCCAGAAAAATAACAGTCCACTGTCAGGAGCGGGGRATTTCCAAATCTGAGCCTGAAAGCCTGGGTGGAGGACAGCCAAGCACAAGAGATGTGGAAGCCAGGAGAGGGTCAGAGAGGGAGCAAAGCTTGCTGAAGCTGATTTTAAACAACCATTTGAGGTATTGGCTGTGGTTTGAATATCCACTGCTGTTGGATGAGATTAATTGCTGCTAGCATGGTTCTCAAGGAGGCAAAAAGTATCTTCTAGGGATGTGAAGGTTCATCATTCCTAKCAGGTTTTCTGCCCTGGGGAGAAATGGCAGCATTTGCATTTTCTACRCCCAGACAGTTCTGCTAAGGGAGAAAAAAACAATCTATGTCCCTAAAAAGACACCTCTGCAGACACAGCCAGAAGGCTTTTTCATACAAGTGCCGTTCCCAAGTAGTCTGGCAGAGCCTCATTTCAGGGGCAGCTAGTGCTAAATGAAACCTCATTTGGACCAGGATCTACCTCCCACAAAACTGGCCGGCAGAAGGCTGAGTTTTACCAGCCTTCAAGCTGTTTGGGTGCCAACAACAGGAAACAAACCCTAAGGAGAACTCTGTCCMTGGGTTTGCAGCTCTGTACCCCAGGAAAAGGATGAGATCCACTGCCAGAGCACCGCTACTGCAACTCTGCTCTGCTGAACTCACCCCTCTGTTAAGGGTGCTACTGGAGAAAAGTCCTGAGAACAGAAAATCGGATGCATTTGTGTTTTCTTCTATAGATGATACCAGAGAGCTTTAAATACCATTAAGATTCTGACCAGGTCACAGACATTTGATTTAACAGGCATATTCCTATCTTCCTAAATGTTCAAAAAGAAATACTGTTAAAGACAGAACTGGCATCTCATGTATTTCCCCAAGCTCCTTCCCTCTTAACTGATAGCATGAATGTTTAATTAAAGCTTTGACAGAGAAGTAGATCAGGACTCCTGTATCATCCTCCCTTCGAGGMGTGCTTTAGCAAGCTGAGGCAGATTGCTTGGTGGATGAGAGGTATCAATATTATCAGGCACTATTGTGTCAGGCCCAACAYATTAAAGGCTGTGTTAAATTTTAACACAGGCCATGAATCACTTAAACTAACTCAGCCAACCAGAATAAAGATGAAAGGTATGAGTAACAAGGGGCTGGGGTTTTTTTGTTTTATATAAGCAGGAGGATGAGACACCTGAGCAAAGGTTCATATGCAACAACAGTTGTAACTCTGCTCATGTAGGAATGGTTCAGATATTTGGATCTCAATGCAGAAAGGTCTACATTTGTATTTTGTTGAAAACCTCATTATAGCTTTCTGAGAATTAAAATTTTTACAGCTTGATTTGAGGGGAGCCTTTTAAGACCATTAGGTTTGATACAAAAAAATAAACTTTGTGTAGGAAACAAAACCTTTTTAAAATAGGTTTTCCCTGACATATCCTGAAGAGGGAATGGGAAATGTTCGAAGTGAATGCCTCCTTWATCAGTTTTTCTCTTGTTCACTATCTATTGCATTGTTAGCTAAATTTTCTTACAAAAGTGTTCAACTGTAAAATTGTTTTGGGTTTGATCTCGAACATGGTCACTAAACTGTGCTGAATAGTCTTTGACTATACTTGCACTAATAATGATTGTAGGCCCCACACAGCATGGTAAGTRTTTACATGTTCTTACATACTTCGAGCAATATGTCATCATGATTCATCATTCTTTATCTCTCTTTATTTTTGCTGATCTTGCTTCTTTTGTAGCTCACCTCTGTCTAGACCAACACACAACTCCTTATAAACACAAGCTTAATCATACCTAATCATGCAAATTCAGCTGGGCAAAGAGATGATGTTTTCATCAGATTAACAGTATGCCTTTCTATTTCAGTGGCGTGGAAATACTTTGTTCTCAGAAAAAGTGCTTTCTTTTTTTTCCTCTTTATTGTAGGACGTGCAYTGATGAAGCATCTGACAATGACGTTCACTGAGGCTGTTATTAAAAGCACTTGCTGCAATAAGATTACTCATTCCCTTTCTACACATTTTTGGTAAGTGTGTGCTGTCCCAGAACCCGAGCCTGTCACCGGGGACAGCACAGAAGCACTCACTGAGCTCCACAGCCCTGCCAGAAGGAAAAGGACCCCTTTTTGGCATCGGGAGTAGCAGCAGCTCCAGAGTGAAAGCCCATTGTTCGGAAGTGGCACGATCATCAGAGATGGTGGCAYGGAGAGAGGCTGCAGCCAGAGACGCCACTCGCAGGTCTATTCATAGCCCCGCGTTTCCCCAGGGGATGGCGTCTTGCGAGCGCCTTCATTAACTGCTGACAGCAGACAGACTGCACCGAGCTGGGAGCGAAAGGGAAACACTCATCAGATGGCCCCAGCCACAACTGAGGAAAACGAACAGAGAGATAACTGGCAAGCGTGCTGCTTCCCTCGCTGCTCAGGAGAAGTTACTCACATCCCTGAATGCAACGCTGTTTCTTTTCTTTCGGCGGGGCTATCCCCTTGTATKCGACTTGTTCTGCACAAAGGCTGCTGCTGTCGATTCAACGGGCCCTTGGAATCTGCCCCGCACGTGGGGGATGGCATCTGAATTCCCGATCGGTTGCTAATTGTAAGAAAACCCCCGAAACACCTTGGCATTTTTAACTTTTAATAGTCAGGAGAAGACAGCCACCAAGCCTTGTTACCTGCCATTGCATCCTTGCTGTGTTGGACCTCTCACACCTGTGCAATTGAACTTCCATCACTGAAGGCCAGCAGAACGAGTGTTCTCTGTGGCATTTCCACGGCTTTTACTCACAGAACAGGGTCACACAGTCCAAATTACCTGTACCCCCAAAACAGGGATCCTCACTCCCTCCACGAGATTAGAAACACCCGTCCTTTCGAACCAACTCAGAGAGTGTTGGTTGTTTGCCTGCCCGTGCCCTCCACACTCAAAAGCTCTTACTAACAGCGAAAGACCTGAAACACAAGGCTKTCTACACACAGGTACTTCTTCCTTTGCTCCAAAAATTTACAGAAAAATGTGTTGCCTTACCTGTGGCTCCCCAGTGCACTTGCACATTTCTTGCCGAGTCCTCGGCACCGCAGACATCCTTGTRCCGCAGCCCAGCTTTCTGCTGGATCACAGAGAGCTTCTCTTTTTCCACATGGCAGCTTCCTTGCTTCTTCCCGGCCCTGAAGCCAAGCCTCTGTTGTAAARTTACACCACCATCCTATTCCTTCTCACTTGATTTTCTCTGCGGATTCTCTAGGCTCAGCAAGTGTCTGTGTTTCAAACATTAATACTTTGATTATTGGCTTTCTTTAGAAGATTTTCTACTCTCCAAATCCTATCTSCTATAGAAAGTTAGACAAAAACTAGCCTTAAATGCCATTAATAAAAGTAGCGTTCTTCCCAGAGGAAACACTACTGGTCCTTCATAACCAAGCAGGCTATTTATAGGAATGGTGACAGTGTGTCTAACCCCACAGTACAATGAGAATGAGGCAGTCCAGGCAAGGCAGGATGATAGAGGCTGTTCATAAAATCAAAACTGGAATTCATGTGTTGTACGTCAGTAGTGATTTGAGCACTATTTTTCTCCATTCCAGAGGGAAAAAATAAAGGCCTTCTTAGCACAGGGACACACATTGTCACTGGAATAATTAATCCATTGTTTTAAAGAGCAATGTTGAAGTTTTCTATTTGTTATAATCCTAATCTCCCCTCTTGCTGCAACRCAGTTCTGCCACCTCACAGGCACCTGCTTTCACACTTCCCAAAGGAGCTTCCTCCTCACAAACTGCATCRCATGTTCATCTTAATAGACATAAGGCCAAGTTCTTTGGTTTGAGCAGATAAATACAATTAGTTTGGGATAGAGAACAGAGGAATCCTAGACAAGTTCCAGACAAAAGCAGAAATGGCAGGGAGGCARAATTACCTTAGGGAATGCGCAAGGAATATCAGTGCCAGCTGGGTTGCAAATCAGAGCAGCAAACAGCTGTAACACTCTCTTCCAAGGAGAARTGGTGGGAAGCCAGGCATAAAGAGCAGAGGCATCCCAGTGTATACATCATCTCCCTGGGCAGGAGCTGAGGAGCTGGGGGAGCACTGTAAGAAAAGAGAAAACACATAAAAAACAGGCAGAGATGAGATGAGGATCTAGTGTGGGCTTAGGAATGCACCTGACTGACTGAGAATAGGCAGGGACATGACATTATTTGGGGTGGGGCTGGAAGCTGCAGTACCTGGGGCACCCTGCAGTGCACCCACAAGAAGCTGTGCCCCTGTCCAGCTCTGCTCAGCCTGTCCCTGCCCTGAGCCACCCTCAGATGGCACCTGCTGAGCTGCAGTGTGGCACTCAGGGAGGACCGTGTCTGGAGAAAAAAAGATCATGGAAGGAAATTGTGGGGACTGACGGAGGTCACTTTCTTAATGTCAGTGTCACTCATGACTGCATCTGCTTTGTGACAGAAAGTTGCCTTGGGCCAGAGATGGCTCCGTGTTCAGCCCAGCCGGTGTGGGGTGTGGAGGGACAGTGGTGGAAGGCAATTTCCTGCAAGAGCATCCGAGCTGTGAGGGTGATTTAGARGGGAGGGAGAAGGGGAACAAACGACAATCAAAAGAGCTTCAGGGAACTGAGCATGGACCTAGAGTGGAATTAATAGGAAAAGYAGTAAGGTCAGAGTAGGAGATGTAGGTTATACTGTAAGGGAGGGGTCTCTTTGGAACTGAATGGAAAARCTCACTGAGCAACTTGTGACCCCCTATAAACCCACATTGTGACTTTTCACTGGCAAGTCCCTGGAAGCCAATTAGAATCTAAAGTTGTAAATTGGCAGTAGATTAGGAGGCCAGAAATGCCTGGAGGACATGGACGAAGTGAGAAAGACCAACACGCTCCTCCAGCCAGGAGCCCTGTGGGATGGGCAGCACTTCCCTGCCCTCTCCATTTTTGGCTCCCCATTAGATCCAGTGAGACATAAATTGCCATGGCAGGCTGAGTGTGGGGCATGGGGTCACGGAGCAACAGCTGGGTGATGTGCCCGAAGCAGCGAGGGGGGACTGAGGGCCATGAGGGGGGACTGAGGGCCATGAGGGGCCCTGGGGGCCATGAGGGGGGACTGAGGGCCATGAGGGGCCCTGGGGGCCATGAGGGGCACTGGGGGCCATGAGGGGGGACTGAGGGCCATGAGGGGCACTGGGGGCCATGAGGGGGGCTGGGGGCCATGAGGGGGGCTGGGAGCCATGAGGGAAGGCTGAGGTCCATGAGGGGGAGATGAGGGCCGTGAGGGAAGGCTGGGGGCCATGAGGGGGGACTGAGGGCCATGAGGGGGGCTGGAGATGGTGAGGGGGAGCTGAGCTATCCTGACAGCAGCAGAGATCTCCCCTGCCCTCTCACAAACCCAGCAGCCCAGCCCACGTACTGGTGCTGATGTGCATTTATGGATATGTACGTGACACTGATCACAAGGATAATTTTCCTGCTTTTCACATTAATGTGGCACCAGTCTGTGACACACTGGGGAATTCTATTACATGCCTTTAAAAAACGAATTTAAATAGCCACAGAATGACTTGCTAATAGTAAATGGCAATAAAACTTCTCTATCAAAATTTAAAAATCATATGAAAAGAGAGAGACCAAACTCTCCCGTGTTGTGCTTGCCTACCACACACCTTCTGAAAGATGTGGCTGGATTTTTGCCTTGATACCTGAAGGAATATATTGCTTATAACTAGAGCTGAATTTGTACTTAGATATGTTCTCCAGGGAAAAACATTACCCAGGTTGTCTGCAGTGGTAGCAAGTTACTACCATATCTTTTTTTCTTCATACAGGCACAGAATTAAAAGATTGTTTTCCTTCTTAAATAAAGATCTGAGGCTGGATTCTTCCCACATACAATTCTGTAATTTCAGATCCTCTTGACTGATTGTTTCTTCAGTAATCCCTAAGAATCAAGAGTGCAAAATTTGAAGGGAAAGAGGATGTTTGTTCAACACAACTATGTGTGCCTTAATGCACAAACAGCAAGTAAGACCAGGAAATATTTTTCCTGTAGTAAAATGCAGACCCCCTTAATCTCCAGAAATTAATTTCTTTCCTTCACAGCAAATGTTTATTGGTAATACACACTTCCCTGAACTAGGTAAAACTCACAGCTGCAAGAACAGTGGCGGTAAACCAGAGGACCAGACACGCAATGAATAAAATTACATGTAAGATCATTTTTGACAGGCCCAATGAATTCAAATGTTGTCATTGCTTAAGACACTGTATTAAATTTGCCTGGATAYATCCCTGAGAGCAAAAAATGGTTTTATGCCAGCTGCCTGGCATAAAACATGGAGATATAAAAACCAAACAAATCCCCATGTGAGAACTTTATCAGAGCAGGARGAATAAACTCTTTTATACCCCATTACAAAAAATTAAGTCGTAGRAGTACCTTAATATTTTAAGAGACAGATTCTTCTGAGATATATTTATCTAAGGTGGCAAAAAACCTCAGGCCTGTGTTCTTGACGATGTCTACTTGATCTGTGGTTAAAACTTTTGGTCAAACTAGTGCGAAGTTAAGTCATATCACTTTGCATCCTGAAGGACAAATATTGCCTTTACATGATTTGTAGATATAAAAGATGCTGGAGGTAGTGATGGAAGCAGTTAAAATGTTTTTACTTCTGTTACAGGGCTGCCTCAATCAGAAACAGAACTTTGTGGAAGAAATTGCACAAATACCATAAGATACAACTGATACCCAGAAACTCAACACAGGTGAATCAATTCCACAGCCACAGTGGTAGATTTKGCACAGAGGTTGCTGGAAAGGAGGCAGGACAATGGAGATGGACTCAGAGTATGATGAAATATGTAAGTAATGAGCACCAGGAGAGTGCACGGACTGAGGAGGGACTGTGGGAGGTGACAGGAGAGGAGCTTTGCTGCTGCTCTCTGCTCAGGGGGCTACTGAGCACTGCACTRGAGAGAAATGCAGACACCACCAGGGACCAAACACAGGGTCAGAAATCATGTTCAGAGCAGAACTAAGTAGTAAATACATGAGTTTTATTCTCTCAGTCAAAAGCCTCAGTGGAGTGAAATGTAATGTAGTAAGGCAAATTTAGCTCAGAATATGATTTTCATCATTAATAAAATAAGTAACTATTGCATCATGCAATAAGTGGTTACAGGTGTTGTAGAGGACTGAATTATTAACAATGCCACAGATAATTTCATTACAATGCTACAATTTCCTTTTTTTTTAGAAAACATTCTTAATACAGTAAAATATCTCAATAAGCCAGACAGAGCYTTGTTGTTGTTGATAATTATTATGGCTGCATAAATGAACATTAGTGTTTTAAAAAAATCAAAGATATTAAAATMATGAATAGTACAGTAGCCTTGATGAAACAGCTAAACTTCAAATGTACTATTTTCATAGCTAAATCAATTTCTGAAAAACCTTACATGGTTAAGGATATTCAGTTAAACCTTYCATGTTATTTACACAAATTATGAAAATAAATGAGCATTAACAAACTTATCTGTATTTCATGATGAATTATATTGTCTTTTRCAGCCAGTATCATCTTTTATCAAGAAATGTGTTGAAAACACAGGGAAATTGTTTAAAAATACTTGTTTAATTCATCAGCTGAATGTAATTTTTAATATTATTAACTGCAAATTAGAGTGATAATAGGAACAGCTCTAGAATGTGTGCTCTGAAGCCTGTAATGATTCATTGCACAACTTACCATTCAGGACAGACCTTTCAATTCAGAAAGTGCTGAATGCATTACCAGGCCTATTGTCCAGAACCTCTTCCAGACATATCATTTGTCTCTATTGTGGTAATAAAGACATTCCTGKCATTCTGGTATTAAGAAACCAGAAGTAATACATTAGTTTTACTTTACCTCTGCTACTTAATAATGAGCGCATACAATGGAGCACCCGGTTTAGGAGACTATGAAGAGTTTCCTATTGAATGACAGACTGTCTGCTMGATTTACATGAAATACCAAGTGCTCGTATGAGAAAAGGTTAAAATTAGATTGACGAGCAAATGTGCTACCAGACTGCTGGCTGACAAATGGCAAAGTTATGCCAACGTATTACTTATTCTGGAGGCGCCCAAGAAGCAAGCAGGAGGATAGTAATTCATGTGCTAAAATATATTCACATTTAGCATAAACAAAGAGTCCTCAGGGTCCGCAACAGGAACATATTAGCTACATGTAATTTATGCCAACCAGTAAGTCAGTGGAACAATTTCATTATTAGATATGGAATGTGAATGACTTGTGTTTTCTTAAGTCAAGAGTAGGCTGCTCTACTGTCATTTAAATGATTTCAGAATAATGTTCTGATGAATGACTGCATTGTTCTTCCAATAAATTGACTGTTGTGCTACATCCTCCTTCCTGCTCCCAGTCACACAATGAAAATACAGATTAGTCATGTAGCCTTTCACAGTGGCTCTTGGGTTATAGTCTGGCTKCTTCTTGGTCACCATAAAGAGCAGGCTGGTTCAGTAGTGGTGACTCCTTTCCCTTCCTCTTTTCCTTTCACAAAGTTCTGCTGAGATCTGTGCTGCCATCCATACCAAAACTCGTTTCCTAAAAGGTGTAAGTTAAGGAAAAATTTTGACTTGCCAAATAAATGCACTTTGAGGCTTAAAATTCAGCAGTGAAGATGCATCACAAACTGACCTCCGTGCTCTGGGCATGTATGCAGGTCTGGAAACAAAGTTTTATGATTCTATGGGTACAAAAATCAATCTATCAGAGGTACAGGGCATCTCTGCAAGCATCAGCTTCAATGATCAGAAGCTGGATTTTGGTGCTAATGAGTAACAACCAGATAGATGTCTCTCAATTCAGTCTATAAACTAAAAACAACATTCTGAAAAAAGATGGAAACAAGTTAAATTACTGAAGCTACTTTTAAACTTATTTACACAGCTTAACAAATTGCACTTTGAAAAGCTGTTACTTTACTAAGCTGACAACACTAAACTGTGTCTTTCTCCGTTAGTAGCCAATAGCAATTCTGCAGTTTACTCATGTGGAATTAC